CGATATTATTACCTCATCTAAGTTTGCAAATAAACGAAATCTAATGGTGTAACATACTCGCTCAAGCTGGTTGTTACGAAATTCGGAAACACTTTCTTCTAGTCGGATGTTAATCGGCTGGTTAACGAAGGCGAATAAGCTACCAGCGTTACCACTATCGCTGCTAAACCCGCCTAGAATTAGTCAGGATTGCATGCAATTGACCTGGTTCCTTAGCAAGTCGTCAAACGAGTCTCTCGCCATGTTGCACGAAGGGAGGACGTTACCGTGTCGCGCGGAAGGTGGCTCGAACTAGTGCACCATACTCGAGTTTCCCAGCAAAGATAATACGCTTCTGCTGAAACGAATAACTACGCGTTGTTCTCTTTTTAATTGCACTTTATAATTAGCTGACGCTTCGCTCTGTTGCGCCACGCTTCTCGGTGCAAATACTTCAACCGTGTGACGAACACTTCGATTCACCGTGAACACATCTACGCTGCTTAAGATATTGTTTATCTAATATTCAATTTCTAATGCCGGCCATTCATCATCTCCGTGTATTTAACGCGTTAAGGCTGTCACGTTTCTTGATTGTATTTGCAAGAATCGTAAGAATGTTTATCTTCAAATAATGTCTATCAACAACGCTGATTACACGTCACCTTTTCTTCAGATTCCAAGGCACGTGCATTTTTATAACGCACATGATAAAGAATATCAGTCGATATACTTTTGCGTTTCCTTTCGCGAGTACACCAATAAATATCGTGTTTGAGTAAATATATTTCCACGATAATCCGTCGATACCACGATCAAACAGCTGATTTTTTTAACCACAGAGCGCCGCCTCAATGCAAATAAAAATACCCGGTTTCGAAACCGCTTATCATCCACCATATCGAACTCAATAAATGCAATAAATAATCAAGTAATTTTTCTTAACTTATCGTTCAAATATCAATTGCGCAAATCGGAACATAAATTCTTAAAAACTTCAGGGTTACTTTTCCATGGACCATGCAACGAAAAATTCCTAGAGCCTCAGATACCAGACTTAGTCTTTAGAATCGCTCTGGAAGAGTAATTCTAGACTTCGAATGGCAAGCTTCACAACAAAATCGACATAACGCGATACCTCACGATTATTTGAAATGGGTATCTGTTCAGGTACTGGGTTCCTCGGCAACAAAATCGGAATAATACGATACACCATGCCCTGTCTTTTTCTTCTTCAGGCTATACCTTTACGCGGTGTCATCCGACGTGGCGAAGAGAGGACAGGTAACCGGTGTTAAGCGATACCTGACAGCGTAGTCTCTGGCTACCCTGTCGAGGTCGCGGTCTTGCCTTCGTACAGCCACAAGGTGTCAACATACAGAGAAACGAGTTTTACTGGCTCGTCCGACGGCGAAAAGAAAGCGAGGGATCAAGAAAAGGGCGAAACGCGAAACAAAGGACGAGAAGACGAGACCTAGGTTGATCGACGTAACGACGATGACACTGTCCAGAGTTGATCCCTTTTTAGCTGCGGCGACTCGAGGATGCTGCTCGTTAAAACGACTCGGAGTTCAAACGAAACCAGTCGCGTACGTCAATCATTAAACCGATGAAATGTTTCTGAAGCATCCGTCTAATTTCAGCAACTCGCTTTCTAAGAATCGCGTGTGATTTCAATCTTTCGAGTAAACTGTGCCGCATATGTGAACGAGTTAATTTAAAAGAGCGTCCACGTACCTACAATTTTCGACAAGCGTTAAAGTTTACGCGTTTCTGTTTTGTATATTTTCGTGTAGCGAATTGACGACTGTTTCGCGAGTTATGATATACGCTCGCGAGTTTATTTGTACTTTTTACATTTCGTTCGGTGGATGTCGTTAACGATGAATTTACAGTGAAAATTCATGAGGCAATTACAACATGATATTCGAAGCGGGGAAAAGCGAAAACGCATGCGAGAGTAATGAGAATCAGCGATAAAGCTGCGGGTAGTCGCGTAATTCCTAGCTCGGAATATCGTTCGCGAATTTTTATGCGTATTTTTCCGAATTGCCTCGATTTATGGCAGATTATTCCCTTATCGGACGAATCATTGACTACTCGAATCTCCTCGCGGGCTTTTTAATTGCACCAATCGAGTCGAGAGACATTTCCTGCAAAAACACATTCCTGCTCGAGGCCGAAGAGTAATCGTGCAGCAATTGCACGATTAGATTACCCGGAGTCTCGAACGAGATTTCTGATCTAAATCAGTGTATATTTTTATTCCGACCGCTAACCAGATGTTATCGAAAAAAAGTAAATCGCTACATTTCTCGAGCACGCTGTCGATGCAGCTCTCTAATTCACTACCCAGGAAGACTTTAACACCTTGCTTCGTCGGCTGTAAAGAAAGGAAGGTCACAAATGGCCGGAAAGAGAAATATAGTTTTCACAAAATCACACCGCTCAAAACGTGGAAAATGAATCTCTAAATAAGCGATTATCGCCTTTAATAATTTACCTTATCTCATATTAGGTAATGTCTTTTTTACTATGTTCGTCAACATATTAATGTATCTATTGTCATGCAACGCCGAAGAAAAATAAATTTAGTTGAATCATACGGATTATCTACTTTAGATAGCAGGGTCCAAAGTTTCTACCTAATTATTTAGCAAAAATAGATTAGAAAACTGTTGATTCAATGGTCATTTTGTATTTCTGATCTTGGGCGATGAGTCAATAAGACAACAACATCTTCAAAAATGTTATTCTTAGTCACAAAGAATTCATACACCTACATTTGACTTTCTTGACTTGAACTTAAAAATAAATTGCTACAACGTCAGAGAAAATAATATATCCCACAACCTACTCATCGCTATTCGCGACTCGGATCAAGTCGAATTAAAGATGAATCCATAAGCTTCGATTGTTCGAAAATTAGAAAAAACAGTTTCGAATATTCATGAATAGCGTAACTTGTACACAAGCACAGTCCTAACCAGACTCTCCAGGTGTAGTAATACAAAGATCCTTTATTGAACAAAGCCAAATAGTCGACGAATTCTCACGCGTTCAACTGTTCCATCGCAGAGGAGAGCAGTGCCACGTTGAGCATAATCGAGCACCGAAGAACAGGCAAACACGCCCGTGGTGCCACGCGGTAACCTTTTTTCTGACATTTCTACCTCGCGGGGCTCGGTTTAGCCGAAAGGTTAAGAAGCCTGCGCTCAGGCTCGAATACCCTGAACAAAGAAGAAACATGAGCTAACGAGGAACGAAAGAGATCGACAGCCATCGGTGCTGCTACTCTTTCGAAGATCTCTCGTCTCTTCCTGTCGAAGGTCGTGGCGAATCGAAATGTTTGCTCCGCGAACCGTGTCGCGAGGTCGAAACCTCGTCTACGAACGCTCTGAACGACCGCTCGAGCGTCACAGAAGCCAGCTGGTCACCCAATCAGAGCGAGAACGGAACAAAAGAAAGGTGAAAAGACTTATCGCCCCGTGAGATCGAGCCTACATCCTGTATCCTCGTTGACCTGGCCGGCGAATCCTTGCAATTATTATTAATTTATCGATAATTTCCTCCTGCCGGGACCGTTGTCTTCCACCTCGAAGAATGTTTCGTGACCCAAAAAGCCACGGACCGATAGACAAAGACGTCGAGTCACCGAGCGGATCTGCCTCCTCGAAACGCGTCGCTCTGTTCTTTGAATAGGTAGGTGTTTCTTGCGCGTGCGACCGTCCTTGCCCGAGTTCTTGCTTCGCAAGCGTGAATCGCGGTTTCTCAATTTCAAGAATACTACTCTCGCGAACGAATCGGGCCACGTTCAATTGTCTAATTAAAAATTATGACTAGTCGAATGCGAAAAATCCTGCGATGGAAAGAACGTTCGAAAAGCGGTTGAAATTCATGGACTGGACAATTAAATCGAATCATAAATATTTTCGAGAAGCGGTCGGTATCTCATGGAATAATGTCACGATTCAGGGAAAGTCACACGCTCGTAAATCAACGCGGTAATGGGCACCGTTAGATTTGCAATGATAATCTGATGGTAATGCATGCGATTCGGTCGAGCGAGCGAACGAGAAAATAATTAACGATCTACCGAGTAAACCGAACCTCGCAGAACAATCGGCATCGACGTCCTGATCCCTCGAGAATTACGGATTTAAACGGATAAGACGAGTTAACTTGTCGTTCAACCGATAGACTCGCGGTACGTAATAGCATATTCAACGAGAGGCCTTTACTCTTCGATTTATCGTTATATTTGTATTAACCGGAGAATATGTCATATTGTATCATATTTATTACGTAGGACTGAAGTTCAAGAACTTGTTAAGATCCCATTTCTAACCAGATATCTGATACGAGAATTATAATTTGCATAAAGTAACAAATGACCCTATCTAACTACCACCTTCGAACGTTCAAAGTGTTAAAATGTTAAAAAGAACCTAAGCGATCCGGTCATCTAGTTCTATCTAGTTTTCCCAGCTCACGCGTGAGAAGCAGTTCCATCCTCTTAAATGACGTGCTCGAGGATGCTCGAAGATTTTCTCGACGTCTCGACGGTTTCCCGGAGTGATCTATCGATCTCCTCGGGTCGTTAATAAGCGACCCGTCGACAACGCAGGGGAAGGTGTACTCGCGGTTACCTCTAATTCAACTGATCGATCGTAGGATAAGAGGAACGTACCCGGTGTACGCGTATAATGAACGATACTGCAACCAGTGCCGCGGCCATTTACCATTCAATTACGCCGCAATTACAGAAAACTGCTCGACGATCGCATACCGTTTACCTCGGCGACAGACGTTTCGACCCTCGAGACCTCTAATTGACGACCGTAATGCAAACGGTCGACGAGATCCCAGCGATTGTAAGACGCGGCGCGTAAAGGCTGCCGAAAAGCAGCAATTCGTTCGCGTCGACGTCTTTCGCGACGCTGAAATTTATTTGTACGAGCAGTCGTATCGCACGCGGACGCGAAACGCGATGAAATTTATTATAAACTCGTGAGACTCACCCTTGAAGAGCGTGAGGCGGAGCTGGTCGCGGCGGGGGTGGTAAGGATTTTCTTCCTGGCGTGTTCTGTCGCGGCGCAAGAGGCGGAGGTGGTGAGCTGGGTGATCCGGAACCACCGTATCTGTCCGTGGGACACTGGGGTTGAGGCTTCTGCTTCGGTGCATCGATGTATTTCGGCGGCAACGCGTAATAGTTCCTCTGTGTCGCGTCCCCGTGACGCTGATGATGGTTAGGCACGTACTTCGGCGGCTCGTGATACTTCTGCGGACTGGATTCGGACGGGAACATCTTCGAATTGGCTTCGTAGCCCGTCTTCACGGGACTACCGATCGTGAATCCATGATTTCCACTCTCCAGATACTTGTTGGTGCACTTGGAGTTCTCTGGAACGGGCAGGTAGTTCGGTCTGGCGGACTGATTCGATTGATTGTTCGAGGCACTTTTGTCGATACTTTTAGGCACTTGTGGTTGTGGTCTTTGACCAGAGGACGATTCTAATCTCTGAGCAGAATCGTTTCTGATTAAACCGGAGACGTCTAGTCGCGATCCGTCCACTCTCATGGATTCCTGACGAATGATTCTTGGCTCCACAGGGACTTGAGGAGCTGGTCTCTGATTCCCCGAATCGCTGTATCGTTGCGAGATGAGATCAGGTAGTTGAGCCGGCGGTCTGTTGGGAAAAGACCGCTCTTCCGAGATTCTTCTCGCTGGCGTCACTCTGCCGTTGACCATCAGCTTCTGAGTCGACGGGTATCTCAAACTGGACCGACCTGTGGCTACCATTCTGTGAGTGGCGAAACCGGCGGACACTCCGTTCTCCAGCACCATTTCGGAGTCCACGTGTTTCAGTGCTATGGCAGACCTCACGAACTGATGCTGTTCCTGATCTTGTGGCACCGTCTTCGTGGGCGAGTTGGGCGACGACTTTCCAGAAGATTTCTCGTGCTCCCTTTTAGCACCGTGCTTCGATCTCCTCATGGAGTGTCGCTCTAGCTTGTGTCTGTCGCAAGACCGATCGCGGACTTTCGTCTCTTCTTGCTGATGGTGCGCGTTGTTGGGTTTACGTTGGTTCTCCGCGAAGCAGTCGTCGCTGAGCTCGGGTGGCGGAGGTGGCAGTGGATCGTCGCAATCGTGAACCTCGTTTTCCGTCACAGTCGGCGGAGAAGGTGGAGGCAAATCGGGGCTAGGCACGCGATCGTTGTAAACGTTTCTGAGGTGCGGCTTCTTGGGTGGCCTCTCCGGCACCCAATCGTCGATCGATATAGCTGGTCCAACTATCACGGGTCCCAACAAATCCGTGGACAGACTACCGCAGCTGTTGCTGTGCTGATGCTTGGGACTCGACAGTTCCCCGTTGCCTTGATTCTGGTTTCTATTGCCGTTTTCTCTCCATGTACCGCTGGCATAATCGGACGCGGAACTGGCTCGCCTCGAAGACGGCGGTCTAGGACGAGGAGGTGGTTGCGGCGGAGGGCTCTGAGGGGCGGGAGCTGCTCCTTGAGCCAATTGTGGCTCGGAACGCCAGGATGCTTGATGATGTCTTTCGTAGAACGAGAGCAACGCCTTTTTCTGTATAGCCTTTAACGTAGGGTCCGACACTCTGTGACGCTTCTCTGGGTCTAGATAAGTGTAACGCATTTGCTGCTGTTGTTGTTGCTGCTGCTGTTGCTTCTCTAGCTCGTTTATGCGCTCTGCTACTGACATTTGCGGTTGCTGGGGCAGTGCCGATGCCATTCTGAAAAAGGTACAAATTTTATATCACATGTTCGACATTAATGTGGAACGCGAATTTTGAATAAGGGACAAAAAAAATTACCTCGAAGACTGCGTAGAATCCTGAGGCTGCGTCGTGCTGACCGGATACAATTTGCGTTGGTTCCTTTCGCGATCCAAATAAAGCACGCTTTCCGAGTGGTGTCTCTGCGGAGTCTGTACTCTGGCACTATGAGCGATCAACTGTTTGCTACACGGAAGTCCGTTCGCTTGACTAACGTCCGACATCGATCCATGAATCGGATTCCAATTTTCGGGACTCTGAGGCGTCGTCTGACCAATCTGTTGACGTATCGGACTCTGCGGCATCGGCTGAGCCAGCGACCCATATTTGTCAGCCTCGATCCTCGCCGAATTGTCCCATTGGGAATTGGTCTGCGATTTATCCAACGATTCCTCGTCGATGCTCGATTCCTGCCACTTGCTCTCCCGAACCGTCGTTGAAACGTCGGTTACGTTGGCCGACGAGTTGCAGTGATTAATCACAGCCGGTAAGCTAGATCTGCCCTGACTCTGCTTGTTGCGATCGTTCATCGAAACTTGCCACTTGTCCGGCCACTTCTCGCTGTGCCTGCCCTTCGTGGTTGGCGACAAACCGCTGCTGCTGACGTCGCTCATGGAACCTTGCCATTTGTCGTGGCAACCGTTGTTGGTTTTCTGAGTTAAAATTCCACCGTTCACGCTGCTAACGTCGGACATCGATCCGTGATGCCATCGATCCGACGCGCCCTGTCTCGCCGGTAAACCGCTCGACACGCTGACGTCCGACATGGAACCGTGCCATTTCAGGGTCTCGCTGCTGGAGGCACTTCCGCTCGAGGTGGTCACCACGCTGTCTCTTCCTTCCCTCGAGGTATCCTCCCAGGTCGAGGTTGGTCTCTGAGCCACTGCCTCGCTGTCTCTTCTCAATCTGTCCAAACAACGTCGAGCGTAAACATTTTAACACGGCAAACTTCGAAACAGACCGGATGATCTTACCTGTCGAGAAACGGAGTGTTCGTCGTGGAGTCCACGCTGGACACGTAGCTGTGGTATCCTTCGGATTGTGCGTAGCTGGCCTGCTGAGAATGCTGCACCCTCGTGTACTCTTCGAGACCCGCTTGCGTTAGGGTAGCCTCCCTGTAAATGTCCACCTGACGAACCACGATTAGATTAACCGACTGGTTGATACATCGTAAACGTTACAGAAGAACCGAAGTGAATTTACCTGGGACACTTGAGGATCTTGATAACTCCTGACGTAGGCCTCCAGGTCGGCATGGCTGAGCGTCTGAGCGGTTTGTTGCTCGCGTTCAGGAGGCGATGGCACCACGTATTCCGCGTCTCCCAAAGCTTTACCCTCGCGATCCACGCGAGGCCACAATCTCGGTTCCTCTTCTACGTTGCTTCTGTTGCGCGACTCGAACGTTTCTGCCGGGATCTTCTCGCATCGCTCCATCACCGTCTTCAGCTGCAACGCGAAAATCGTTGTTCTTTCTAAGTGCGTTACGATGCGATTTCCTCCAGCCAAATCCTGTGATCCGTTGCGTAATTGCCGCGCAAGTGTGCTTTACAAGTGCGAACGTAAATCGACTTAAACTGCATTTTCCTTTCAGCCGCGCGAGCCTCTGCTCCTCCGCGACTATCGGCTCAAACGCGTTTCGATCGCGTTTCAAGGAGTAACGAGCTAATTAGACGGGTCTGTCGAAAGGCGCGGCCGGCTAATGAGGGAATTCTAAATCGGGCGCGAGCGAAGCCGAGTGAATTACGGCGCGTTAACGCGTTCTCTCGGCGGTAGCGTTCTGGAAAGGCTGGAATTCGTTCGCGTACACGCACGCGTCAGGATTAAAAGGCGGAGACACGGGTCGGCCGGGTGAAACAACTCGTCTCGAAATTGCTGGCCTACTTTTCAGGAAGTCAGCGGCGCAACACCGCTGGCGATTATGTCACCGAGAGAAAGGAGAGTGCGGGTGTGGGAGATTAATTATGCTCGCCGTTTTAGGGCGCAGCACGACTTTACCCAAGGTTCTGACCTACCCGTCGTTCTCCGTGTTTAACGCGACACGTTCGACCAATTAAACTTCCTTCGAACGCCCGCTCGTTGGACGTCGTCCCCGTCGACACCGTGAAACTTTACAGCGACCGCGGACCTCGCTGAAAATGGTACGATAAGCTCTCTCGTGACTCGTTAACACGCTCGAAAGCGACGTTTCGCTCGCTTTGCAAATGAGTTTTCCGTTTCGTAACCGACCAGACGCGAGGGAATGTTCGTCGGGGCGGTTTCGTTCACGCAGTGACGCACCGTTTTCGTCCGGCATGGTAACCTACAGGAAAAACTCGAATTCTCATTCACTGCTAAGAGTGAACGAACTCGGTAATTTTTCGAAGACCGTGATAAGGTCATTGCCGTAACTGGATAGGAATATAACGCATGGGCATGTGATCGTAGCGATCTAAGTTTGGCCCTCGTAAAAGAAAAATAGCTACGCCAATGGTTAGGGTACATCACCTGCTGCGTGAACGTAGGATTGGGCCTCTTGGTGTGCGGTCTGGTGTATTGAGCAGGCTTTTCCTTCGGGTAATTGGTGTGATCGGTCCAGGACTTGGAGCGATGGGATCCGCTGTGTCCCGAACCGTGGACGTCCTCGTCGGGATGCCTCTCCGGCGCGCTCGGCCACGACGGATACTTCTCGTGTCCGGGTCCATAGCAGACCCCTTTGAGGCTGGACGCGTCTCTGACCGGTGGCGTCGGTGGTGGCGACGCTTCGTCTCTTTCATTGAGAGGAAGCGTGTAGCTGTCGAATCCGAGGCTCTCGCTGTACCTGTCCCGACAAACAAGGAAACGTATCCTTTAACGGCACGCTTCAAGCAGCCAGCCTGTTCTTTGCAACCGATCGTTTATGGAAACCCTCCTGGTCGTTCCTCCTCGCGTACGAGCAATTATACGCGAGCGAATCGCCTTGGTTATTAGCACTCGACGCGCGATGAATCACTCGCAGGACTCGTCGGTAATCCCGGTATCCGCAATGAGGGAATTCTAAATCGGGCGCGAGCGAAGCCGAGTGAATTACGGCGCGTTAACGCGTTCTCTCGGCGGTAGCGTTCTGGAAAGGCTGGAATTCGTTCGCGTACACGCACGCGTCAGGATTAAAAGGCGGAGACACGGGTCGGCCGGGTGAAACAACTCGTCTCGAAATTGCTGGCCTACTTTTCAGGAAGTCAGCGGCGCAACACCGCTGGCGATTATGTCACCGAGAGAAAGGAGAGTGCGGGTGTGGGAGATTAATTATGCTCGCCGTTTTAGGGCGCAGCACGACTTTACCCAAGGTTCTGACCTACCCGTCGTTCTCCGTGTTTAACGCGACACGTTCGACCAATTAAACTTCCTTCGAACGCCCGCTCGTTGGACGTCGTCCCCGTCGACACCGTGAAACTTTACAGCGACCGCGGACCTCGCTGAAAATGGTACGATAAGCTCTCTCGTGACTCGTTAACACGCTCGAAAGCGACGTTTCGCTCGCTTTGCAAATGAGTTTTCCGTTTCGTAACCGACCAGACGCGAGGGAATGTTCGTCGGGGCGGTTTCGTTCACGCAGTGACGCACCGTTTTCGTCCGGCATGGTAACCTACAGGAAAAACTCGAATTCTCATTCACTGCTAAGAGTGAACGAACTCGGTAATTTTTCGAAGACCGTGATAAGGTCATTGCCGTAACTGGATAGGAATATAACGCATGGGCATGTGATCGTAGCGATCTAAGTTTGGCCCTCGTAAAAGAAAAATAGCTACGCCAATGGTTAGGGTACATCACCTGCTGCGTGAACGTAGGATTGGGCCTCTTGGTGTGCGGTCTGGTGTATTGAGCAGGCTTTTCCTTCGGGTAATTGGTGTGATCGGTCCAGGACTTGGAGCGATGGGATCCGCTGTGTCCCGAACCGTGGACGTCCTCGTCGGGATGCCTCTCCGGCGCGCTCGGCCACGACGGATACTTCTCGTGTCCGGGTCCATAGCAGACCCCTTTGAGGCTGGACGCGTCTCTGACCGGTGGCGTCGGTGGTGGCGACGCTTCGTCTCTTTCATTGAGAGGAAGCGTGTAGCTGTCGAATCCGAGGCTCTCGCTGTACCTGTCCCGACAAACAAGGAAACGTATCCTTTAACGGCACGCTTCAAGCAGCCAGCCTGTTCTTTGCAACCGATCGTTTATGGAAACCCTCCTGGTCGTTCCTCCTCGCGTACGAGCAATTATACGCGAGCGAATCGCCTTGGTTATTAGCACTCGACGCGCGATGAATCACTCGCAGGACTCGTCGGTAATCCCGGTATCCGCTCGCGAGTTATCATTGAACCACTTTATTAGCAGGATGCGAGAGCGTGCTGCTGCGGTAGCCGTAATTTATGGAATGGCGAACAAGTTCAACGTAACTGGAAACGCGTATAATCAGGCCATAATTGCGACGTCGGTCCTCGGACTTGGTCCCCATGGCGACGGGACGCCGCAACCGTACCGTGTTCGTCGTGGAACTCCACGTTCCATCTATCGCGAAATCTAAGTGTGTCGGGACTAATACAGCGAACGTCTAATTGGCTGCCGAACGGTATCTCTTATCTCGCGCGCAAAAAGCCGCTCGATAAACAGTAACGCGCGAACAACCGGGAAAACTCGTCGCTCGTCCGCGAACGCACCGAGGACAATAATTAATTTTCGCGATAACGCTCACGAGGTCTTCAATGAATTCTTTCTCACCGGATTAACTGGGATGCACTCGTGTTGCGCAATTAGTAGAGCGGAATAATTGAGATCGATTTACTTTCATGCTTTAACGACCGATCGAGATCAGTCGCTTTTCAGACTATAAGTTGCGAAGAAGAGCAAGTGCTTCGAGTGATCAGCCAAGGTTTTACTTTTTATCGCTTCAAGAACTAGATTGCTTTCGTGTGATCTATGTTTCAAATTCAGTGACCTATAAACTCGTGAACTGTAAGAAAAATGATGAGATCGTGTTCCTTATCCCCGAGTAGATCTCCTTCAAGAATGAAAGGGAAAGAAGAAATTCAGAGTGTAGTCCAAGAAATAGATATTCGAGCACGATTCGACTTTTATCCCGGAATAAGTTGTAACGAACTAAATAAATGTAAGAAAGAATAGATGTCGTACCCGCTGTCGTTCTTATAACCCGCAGTATTCTTCTTGTGACTTTCGTTGTAACCGGCAACCGTGGCTTTCTTGGCCGCGTTGCCAGCCTCGTGCTCGTTCTCCGCGGACCTCCTGCCGTCGTTTCTGCGCCGATAGTACTCGTTAGAAGGCACAGTCCGAGACGGACTCTGCTTAAGGCCATAGCCTTCCTGAGGATACGACGAGGCACTCTTGAAATTGGCAGGTTCGCTCCCGTGGCCATGACTCGCGTACTTGTAAGGGCCCGGAGGACAGGAAGGTGGGCCCGGGGCCTCATCCTGGACTCGATATCCCGGCGGCGACGGTTGCAGTTCCGTCATCGTGTAACCGACGTCCCCGCCATCCGGGATACACCTGCGGAATCGAGTAAAAACGGATCGGTTAGCTTTCGCGTTCTTTCTCCTCCACTTCGAATGGATCAACGCTCGCGAAAAATAAAGATACAATCGCTTCGATTCCAGCTTCTTGTTCTTCGCCAATGATTAAACCGATTTTTACCAATTTTTACTCGAGGAGGACGTAATCGAGCACCAGGATAATTCCTGATTTTTGCATCGTGCAAGAACGAGTTACGTGGCAGTATATCGAAATGATAATTACTAAGCGCGTACATCCGCTATTAGACCATGCTAAGCGTATATCATTCTAAGCGGCACTCTAAATGCGTCATTAGGGCACACCTGGTGTACACACTGCCAGTATTCTAGAGGTTAAAAATTATATTACAGAGTAGAGTACACCATATCCCAGAACAAGTACCCTGGCTGCGAGCTAAGGATCTGGGTTCCAGTTCCAACACCTCGCTAACTATAATATCCCCTGTATAGGACTAAAGGTGTTGAACGCCTCGGGGGGTGACTCTCGAATACCTCTATAGAAAGACTCGCCCATACCAAAGAGGACTCCTGGAGTTCGCGCACCATTGTCGATTCGGAAGTTTCGATCGGGTGTATCTCAATCCCGCAGCTCCGAAGCATTCGAGACATCTACGAGCCGGTAAATAAATCCTCCATCGCGATAGCTGTCGTACGATTCTCGTAACGTACATCGAGACGTACAGCTTCGAGTCTCTTACGCCAGTCTCGTTATCCGACACCGACTCCGTATGGAAAATAGGCATCATCCGTTCACGGACGTTCGATATCTCGGCACTGATCGGCGAACCGACCGATCGCGATCGGCGTTTTCCTTTTTCCAAGCGTGGAAATCAATCGCGTCGCTGCTTCTAATCGATTCTGGTGAAAGGTTAATTAAGATAACCATTAAACGGCGCTGAATACCGGGTATCGGCGGTGTGCAAATGAAAATCACCAATCTAGAACGTATTCACGAGCGTTCCGCGATTAGTCCTGGTCGCGGTTCCGCGAGTATCGCGGCTGATCGACGACGGTCGCCCGTAAATTACGACCGCTGTTGCTTTCACCCGAAGCACGCGTTCCCGGCAATCTAGATCCCCGGAGATCTCGGCTGAATCTCCGCGCACAAGCCTGTACGAGTCGCGACTTACTGATCAATTTGTTCAACCGGAGAAGTATATTGTCCAGAAGTAGGCGCGAGCTCGTCGAATCGAACGCTAGGCGTGTCCGCGCCACGCCGCGCCGCGATAAAATCCCTCGAGAGGCCTCACGCTTAACCTTTCGCTCGCTTTCGATGAGTCGCACAAACAACGTCTCTTATCGATTAAATCGATGGCTCTGATAATCGCCTGACCAAATTACGCCGTAATGAAGTCCACGGAAGAAGGTGTGTCCAACTAACGCCGATGAAAACAAACGGGCTGCTAATGAAGAAAGATGTGAGAACCATAGGTTGCGATCTGGGATCGATAGTGTCCATTTTAATCAGCGGTCGCATTGTGTACTCGTAAAATGGATAGCCGAGGTACAAGAAATGAATACTGTTCGGAGAGAATGGAATCTTTCGCACGCGGCTCCTACTCTTTTGGCAATTTAATATGTTCGATCGTAGTACATTCACGAACGTTTTAAGAAGATCAATCGAAGCACCGGATAAACACGTTCTAAAGTTATAACCACCTACGTCATCGAACCTTTTTGATCAAACGAGCTGAAAGTCAACAAAGGAAGTCACTCCCTAACCATTTCAGGAGTCGGTATAAAAAATTGCGTTCATTTGTCGCGGAAGAAAAATTGCTACCCACGCGTGACCTCTCCGAAACATTTTCGTCGAAACGAGAACGGTAACGCGTGTCACGGTGGATCGCCGTCGTCGTCATCGTGCTGCTACCGAGATGTGGGTCATCCAAACCTCGACGAGGATTCACAGTCCAACGAACAATCGGCCATACATCATCGGTTATCGTAGCTTGTCCCGCGATCACCAGAGATACGGATAGTCCGTCCCAGATTCTTCCGCGTTCGTTTGGAGGCAGCGCGCGTATACCGGCACAATCGGCGCTTCGCGTCGCGTCGTTACGCCCCTCGCGACCAAGATCGATGACGCTACCACCAGCAGGTAGAGGAGAACATCCGTTGCGATTCTTGTGCCGTGTCCTCTCGCCACGCCGTGAACGTTTCTATGGACACCGTTGTCTAGAGCGGCGAGACGTCGAACGAAAACTCGCGAGGAATAAGGGATTCGCTTGGAATCGTGAAGAGGACAGCTCGCCGCTGTCTCGCGTCCGGTACGAACATCCTCGTGACGATGTATATTTATGTGCACGCGCCCGTACACAAGCCGCATCTGCAAGTTTACCAGCCAGCCACGAACAAAAAGAATCGAACTCGGCTGGACTTTTACGCGGGGCTGATAGAACCGCACGCTGTAGCTTCTCTCGGACCGTACGCGTTTCAACCGTTGCAAAACGCAGCCAAATGATTTTGTAATAAGCGAAAGTATGCGCTCGATACGTATGCAAGCCGGAATCGAAACGCGAAAAACGATTGATCGACCGTCTCGCGAGCATTGGCGTAACTTCAGCCACGGTGGTCCATTCGGATAATGACTCGACACTGTAGCGCACTATTTGGGGATTTGAGAATTTGAGTACTTTCATTTGTACACGGACATTCTGTCTAAGAAATATAGATTGTTTGATACTGTGCTTATCTGAATGATTCGGGGTCCTAACCTGAACCCCAGCTAAATACGGCAATGCTTACAAGGTATCGTTGCGACCGATCGGTTAATGAAACGAATGTCGGACCAAGCTAATAAATGCTTCAGCGAGCATTGACAACTCGCAATAAGCTAACGGGTATTTAATAACTGGCTGCGAATGGATGGAACGAGGATTGGAAACGTAAGTGCTTAGAAACATGACCCTCGAATTTCACAGACTGCACCGACGACGATCGTAAACACGGCCGGAGCTAGGTAGTCGCTTTCACGACTAATAAATTGAATATAAAAGCACGCTATCATGCCTCGTATACACTAGGAACTCACGATCTTTAGCGTGCGTTAAATTGGATTCGTTATGGTGGGCGTGTCGGCGCCCGTAGTTTCGCATAATAAGAACGGAGCCTGAATAGACGAGCCGGGACAGACTTACGATCCTCCGCCGATTGAAATACGCGACGCTTAATAACGCTCCAGAGAAATTCCGACGATTCTCCTAAACGCAGCCTCCTTGTCGCGATCGATTGTGGACTAGTAGGTCGGTTCGATGCGTGAACAAGCTTTTCACATGTAAATTGTCGCGCGCGAGAAACCAGCCGCCGATTATCCTGGTTCCTTTCGCGCGAGCAGTCGCATCCAGACTGACAACGAAATGTCCGCTCCGTCTCTTCGACTGCTCGTTTAACAATGGACACGACGAGCACGCGAACCCACGATGAAACGTGTAATTTCCTCTGTCGGGACTGTCAAAATTCTAAACGAGAGAATCATGCGAATGATGGGATTTAGAAAAACCAGGCTACCAGCTTCGAAGATGTCTCGTAAGAAACAACGAGGCTATTGTGCTACGAAGTTACGCAGCTTTTGCCAGCATTTCTTTGTGGCCTATTGAAGGTTGTTCAAATTGCGAAGGAACGCGTGAATGGTTTAGGTCCTTTCAACGACGAATGACTCCAGGGTGAAAGAATGTCTTTGATCATTAGGTACGGGAACGTAAGAATTACTGGAAGTAGTTTCTCCGTGGTTTTTGAAAGGGAAATTTTAGAACGCGTGGTTCTGCCCACTGTGCTGAGTTGTTTAGGCAAATTCTTTGAGGCGTGTAATCTTCTGCGTCGGGACCATCGAAATGCCACTGCACCCAATAATCACAAGGTGGACTCAACGTTTATTAATTCTACGATCTTTAGAATGTTTTCTTCTTAAAATTAAATAAATAATTGTTGAAATATCATACCAGTATGTTGAAATATCGACGTTGAAATATCAACGTTAGTCTGACTTTGTGTAAGCGTTGTTAGAATCTGATGAGTGTACATTTGCAATGTACAAGGTGCATCTGATATTGCAAAAATCGATTTCGCTGATCGTTAATTCTAAGAAGGTAACCTCGGTAATACTCGGCCCCGAGTTAAACATTAAATCAAGAGCTTGTATCCAAGCAGATCTTCGAGTTCCATTTCGCAAATTCCACGAAGGAAAATGGAACGCGGAACAAAATTCACGCGAGCCGCGTCTAAATTATCAGATCGTTACGAGGCAAACACAGGGTTGCGTCTGAATGGAATGGAATCGCGCGTACGACAGAACGAATCTGAATGGAACGTAACGAGACGTAACGAAGCGAGAAAGAACGGAATGCGGTCGAACGGAAGAAAATACGAGACACGAGCGAATTAAACGGACGCGGATTAAAGAATTCCGGGAAGAAGTCGCAGAACCGGAACGAAATATCAGTCGTCGAAATGAAGACGAACGGAAGGGACGAGCGTGGAGGAATTACGCGCGTGCGAAAGAGAGTCAAAGAAGGGAAACACGTTGAAAGGTGGCCCGTATGCGCTTAAATCACCGGCGTTAATTGCCGAGCGAGGCCATCCGGTCGCCTCGAGTTTCGCCGTGATAAATTCGCGGCAATTCATTCGCGACGAGCACGCGCGTTCCTTCGAGAGGGTTGTTTCCCCTGTTCGCCAGCCTTTCCTCACCTTCTTTCCAGCGGGTTTATCGCGCCGCTCGGATTGCAAGGTCGCGAACCAAGCCACGAAGCAATGGCTGTCAGCGAATTTGTTAGGAGGACGTGTAATAAGTTCGTGGAATCGGCGGCAGCGCGAGAAGTATCGCGTTTCGAGGTTGTAAAGGGAGAAAAGGACTCGTACGTGACGGAACCGGTGAAATTTCTCGCGAGTGAGGTGTCTAGAAAGAATTTACTTGCTCGTTCGTGATTATTCTTTTTAAGTCAAGTTACTTAACCCTTTGCACTCGTATATGTACACATACCC